CCCCCCCGGCACTCCCGGCCCTGCCCTTGCCGTCCACAGCAGCGGCAGAGCACAGAAGCTGCCTCGTCGCCTCGACACAAGGCGAAGGCGCGTTGCATCTGCTCCGTTAAGAGTAGGCTTTTTCGGTGCAGACAGCGTCAGCCTAGGGATTTCCGTAATGCCATCTAGATGTTGGAAGTTGCATGTAATGACACGTTCTCCGGGAGCACCAGACAGCCTCAGGCTAGATGGGCCCTTCCTTACAAGCGTTTCTTAGCCACGTTTCGGCCAGGCACCCATTAGGTTACGCAAACAGTTGAGAGGCTGTCTGCCCGGAGCAGCTCCCCATCTCAGAACGGGGAACTCCTAGACAAAACCATACGGAAGTTTTCGTTTGTAAGGATTCTAATAAAAGCTTAAAAAAAAAAAAATCCAACACTACCAGGACACACAGACTACTCTACGCACTGCTTTATAGCCACATATGCAAAGAACATACACTTAAAAAAACAGGTGAGCAGCAATAGCAGGAATAGGCTGTAGGTGGGCCTCCAGCACAACGTTTTTTGCCTCAATAAGGCTATCGACCGTTGCAAATAACAGCAGAAAAAGTGAAGTTGCTACAAGTGACCCCATAGGTCAGCCCAGTCACAACAACAGCCTTACTGCCTCGGGTCCTCTGCAGACAAACGGGGAGAGGGTCCCTGCTTTACCGGAGCAGTTTCACCAGTCCAAGAGACACCTTCCACGTACAAGATGCTGCTCCAAAAGACCTGCGTGATACCTTGCTCTCCAGAACGTACCCAAGTGAAAACACCGCATGCAACAGAACAGAAATTGAGAAATAGCATCAGAGACAAAAAAAATGCAAATATATTTTTTCCTGACAATAAGTGCTATCAGTAAAAAGTATTTTATCAAAGCATTGAAAAATCTTAGCTTTTACCTCAACAACTTCAGTGCCTCTATGAAGAGCAGTCACCCTTTCGAGAAACATCGCTGCTGAAAGCAAAATGAGAGAGTTGCCCTGAATTTGTAAGTGATTCAGGGGTGGGGCTAACAAGCTCGGCTGGAGCCTCCCTGTTTTGCAGGGTGGCAACGAGCAAGAAAGCGTGTGGAGGTGTGATGGGATAACGGGCTGATTTTTGCCACGGTGAGCTATTTTAGGAGCAAAAGGCCTTCTTACAGAGAAGGACAAGAAATGGATTTTATTTTTTCCTGTTTAACAGCGAGACCAATGGAGTCTTGCTTATGATACCATTGACCGCGAGGCATTTCTCATCCAAGTAAGTAATTGCGCAGCAGCTGCCAGCAGACCCTTATTGGGGAGCATGCATTTATACGCCAGAGAGCAGCGAAGAGAATGTGCTCCCCTAGAGTAACTTTATGTAAAAGCTGAAAAGCATGTAGAATTCTGAACTCTCTAACATTCAGACTCAGATAGTGAAATAATTTCCGCAGCTGGCAGGTACCTACCTGGTAGGAACCACGCTGGTGCTTGCCTGATGGAGGAAACGGTTATTGTTTCTTTCATTCTCTCGTGGTTGTTTATATTAAATAAATAACTCTTTGAAATATGTGTAACAGTTAGCGTGGTGGTTTGTTTTTTGTCAGTGAAGTGGATGAGGATAACCGGACAGACGCGTCAGGCTTCGCGCGCTTTCCTCTGACAACGTCGGGAAATCTGACGCCACCCGACCTGTTTGTCCCAGTAAATGTACGTGTGTGCGTGTGCGTATACACGCAAGTATATAGTCCTGCTTTATGTCACCAAATATCAATCGTCCCCAGCATCTGTAATTTATTTTAGGAACAGCATTCGATTGGGTTTCGGTTGGCTTAGTGTTTGAATTATTGACTGTTCAATCAGCCGTGAGAGTTTTCCCTAGAAAATGAAGGGAATTAAAACCCTGTAACACTTCCGTAACTGGGGATTTTTAAGATCAAATCTACTGATTTTTCTAACATCCCCCTTGCTAGTAACTGCTTAGGCCGCTAACGAAGGGAGACTCGGTGACGCGTTAGGCCTAGGCATGAGGTGACAGCAACACTTTTTTTTTCTCTAGAGTCGCCTTTCCCCGCTCCCTTCGGAGAAACGCTC